GGAAAAGGATAAGAGCAAGCAACATTATAAAGAGTTGATAAAAACTAGGTCTAACCTACTTTGTACCACCAACAGAACCTGACTTCTACTAGATCCTATTATAATACAGAAGGAAAACAACTTGTCCTCCAAGTCCACAACCTCAGCATCAGAACATCCACTAACCTAGGGATTGGGGACTCTCAATGCCCCAGAGCATTATGGAACATTAAGGACATTCTGGGGAGCCTGAGATGGAGGGGAAGTGAAGCTAGAAGACCTAGATAGAAAGGAGTGGCAGGTTCCATGACGTCCACATCTCCATAAAATGCTATCATCTGAGCTTACCTTGAGATTATAGAGTTCCTCTACCCCTGCAGAAACTGAGGGTAGGTGAAGCCTGGGCTACTGCAGTGCTACTGGTCACAAACAGGTCTCACACTGACCTGAGAATTGAGACCTGGCAATTGAGAGTTTGCCTTAGGATATTTCTAGAAGAGGATTCAGAGTCAAGTGGCACCACCAGGACCCAAGATTTACTGATCTGTAATCTATTGTGTAAATGGATAATCTACTCTTACATGTTGTTTTCCACTGGTTATTATAAGCAGAAAACCATACCAGGGGTGTCCAACCCACAGCTCACAGGCTGCATGCAGCTCAGGATGGCTATGAATGCAGCCCAACACAAAATCATAAATTTACTTAAAACCTTTTTTTTCCTCATCAGGTTTCATTAGTGTTTGTGCATTTAATGCATGGCCCAAGACAACTCTTCTTCTTCCAGTGTGGCCCAGAGACGCCAAAAGGTTGAACACCCCTGCCAGACCCCCATGGACATAAGCTGGTATCTCGGATCCCTTTTCTATAACAGGTATTGGTAGTAGCTTCATTAGTCAAAGCAGTGAGAAAATCAGGGTCACTTCCCAGACAGAGCCCTCTTCTATCCTATTTCCCATGCTAGTCCAGGAGCAACTGAGGGGGCCAGTGAGCCTCCCCTCCTTCTCCCACTCTACCTGCACTCCCCACAGAGAGCTAGCACCTACCTCTGGGGAGCAAGCTCTGGCATAAAGCCCCCTAAAGGTCACAGGTATATTGTCAGACACTCTCTTCCAATGGCCACCATGGCAGAGAAAGACAAGGTGACCCCCAATATGTGTTCAGAAATCTCCTGTAATGTTGGGCTGGGGCCTGGGAGATCAACGAAGGAACTTTCGTAGAAACAAAGTCAGTGATACCCCTCCATATATCCTGGCATTACTAGGGAGTGGGAAACACAGAACACAACAGATCTGCAGTAACTTAGTGAATTCACTTTTGTTGTGGTTTCAGGGGTCTGTGATTTATCTTACGAACAATCTTTGTGCAGACAGTGCCCATATGTCAGCCAAAATCCTATTAGTGTTCTCTTCAGGCCATTTGAATGTAATGGCGCTTGAGGGCACTTTTTCCCAACCTCTCTTTCATGGCTTTCCTCCTACTGCTCCCACCTCCCAGGAGTTCCACTCCTCCGTCAGTGGATGAGAGGTCACCATCTACTGACAAATAATTGCAGCTCTTTCTGCACCTCCCCATTCAGCAATTTTAGAACCACCTGCCAATGTCTCCTGAACTCTTCCTCCTAGAAAACTACTTGTGCTAAATCTCAGTGGAAATGTTTGAAGCAGTGGCTAAGTGCAGGGATGTTAGAGCCAGACTGAGCTATTATTCTAACTGCTAATTAGTAGCTGCATGACCTTGGACTTGTTACTTTAGTTCTTCGTCTGTGCAAAGATGAGGGAAATAATTGTACCTACTGCAAATGCCTGTTGTAAGGATAGAACTTAGAGCAGTGCCTGCACATAGGACTCTCCAGAGGATTGTAGGCACTACTGTCATTCAGAAAAGGGTTCCCTGACTCCCCCAGGAAATGGGAGAGGCTTTCTCTGCACTCCCACCATATCTGGTACTGACCTGAGTTAACATAGTTACTTTAATAGTTCTCAGACAACTGTGGGGATCACTGTGTCCACTAGACTATGAGCTCCTGGAGGGCAATGGGGTCTTGCTATTGCCATTGTATGCTCACCACATGGCACAGGGCCAGGCACAAAAGAGATTCAGTCGATCCTGCTATAAAGTTGGCTTTGAAATGCAGGTCTGTGCCTTTTGATCCAGTAATTCCACTGCTAGGATTATATCCTAAGAACTCCAAAACATCAATTTCAAAGAACCTATGCACCACAATGTTCATAGCAGCACAATTTACAATAGCCAAGAGCTGGAAGCAACCTAGGTGCCTGTCAGTAAATGAATGGATCAAAAAATTGTGGTACATATACACAATGGAATTCTATGCAGCAGAGAGAAAGAAGGAACTACTACCCTTTGCAACAACATGGATGGAACTGGAAAGCATTATGCTGAGTGAAATAAGCCAGGCAGTGAAAGACAAATACCATATGATCTCACCTTTAACAGGAAGCTAAACAACAAAACGGATAAGCAAGCAAAATAAAAACAAATACACTGAAATAGAGAACAGGGGGACAGCAACCAGAGGGGAGAGGGGAGGGAATTTAAGGGGAAAAAAATGGGAGGGATTTAGAGGAACAAGTATAAAGGACACAGGGATAATAACTAAGGGGGGTGGAAATGGGAGGGAGGTGGGGTGCATGGGGGAGGGGCGGGCTGGGATGGGAGAAATAAACAGAAAACTGTACTTGAAAAATAACTAAATAAAAATTTAAAAAATAAAAAAAAGAAATAGATAAAAATGTACTTGAAAAGTAACTAAATAAAATTTATTTTAAAAAGTACATAAAAATATATATATATTAAAAAAATTTTTAAAAAGAAATGCAGGTCTGTTCCAACCAATTGATATATTAAAGAACTGAGCATAATGTGAATTTCATGCTTATGTGTGATTTCATCTGTGAGAAACTAGGTGAACATGGAAAACTGCACCCGTTGAACCAAACTGCTTAGGAAAATGCAACAAGCACACGTGCCCACATGCAAACATTCATCAGTTGCCTCAGTCTGCCACTTATGTTATGAGCCACACCCATCCACATCTGCTGTTACAGCATTCCACCTGATTTCAGATTAGTCTATCTTTTCACAATAATTCACAAGCTACTTCCAACACTCACTTCCAAAGGGAAAAATCCAGGCCTTTTTCAAGGTGAAGTGTGATATTTATTGGTACATTTATGTACCTTCTAATCATTTAACATGTGCTACCATTTTTATTAGGTTCCTATCCTTTTTAAATATGTTACGAACAAAGTTTTTGAATGTTGTGCCCCTCCTCCCACTTTTCCTGTAAGCCCTGTGTTTTGGGGGTTTTTTGGTGTGGTTTTTTTTGCATTTTGTTGCACAGTGTGGTGATTTTTAGAATATATTTTGTTATAGCAGAAAGAATCATACTCTATATAAACTTGTGGTTGATGGTGACTAATTCTTCCTTTCTTGGCTCCGTGGATACCCAAGGCATCTGAAACTATAGAAGCCCTTGTTGATCAGCAAACTGCTTGAGCCAGCACTTCTGTCCCATAATTAAAAACAATAAATATTTATTTGTAGACAACTACACACCAGGCATTTTGATGAGCAGTGGAGGTACTGAGGCTAATAAGAAGCACTGCCTCTAACTCTTTCAGTCTAGTGGGGACAAGGAAGACAAGTAATTACAATAGAGGGGTTGTTATTAAAGAACGAAGCAAAGACCTCCCAAAGGAAGTGTTCCTCTCTCCCAGATCTTTCCACCACCGTCCAAGTCAATCTCTTCCTTTGTTCCCCCTTACTCTGCCTTCTCTGCCTCCTTACTCTACTTTCTGAGTTACCAGGCCTGCCAGCACTGAGCAAAGACTGCACAGGGAAGAGTTAATGTGGCACAGGTGGGAGGGGTAAGGGCCCTGAGGGAAGCAGGTAGAACAGCCGCATAAAGGTCTCTACAGGCACAAGTCAAAGCAAAGAGAAGCTGCGAACACACCATACTCAGGATCTTTCCTCAGTCACGTCTTCTGCTAGTGCTTTCTTCCCCCATTTATTCATTCAACAGTGATTAGCTTCTGCTGCGGGCTAGATTTGGGGAATCGGTTGGACTCCCCCTGAATCCTCCATCATGGGAGACACTTCCTCCCCGTGCGGCTGCTGCTCTGGGATGAGTGCCATTTCCTCCCCGTCTGTCAGCACTCCCTTTGGCACACCAGGAAAGACACTAGTGGAACCCCTCTCTGGATTGTAAAGAAGGACAAGAGAGAAGTTCCTTTGCTGCTACTATCTCTTTCCACACTGCTTCCAAGGCCCAACTTCAACTCTCCAGCTGGTGGCCAAGTTCACTATTTCAGCAAGTTAAAGAAAACGTAAGCACCCCACACCCCAAAAGCCTACTAGTTTTCTCCTGTCACACAGGCTTCCAGCTTCATTCCAGGTTCCATCTACCTCATCTTCCTTTTCTCTCTTTCTCTCTACTCTCCCCCTTTCTTTTTGGAGAGTTAGTGCCCAGAATGTTAAAGCTAAGCAACACTTAAGCACCTGTCCATTGTTGAGGTGAAGCTGACACCCCGCAGTTGTGCATAAGGACACCGTCAGGGACAGGAAGAGGCTGAAGCCGGATCCCCACACAGCACTAGCTTTCTCCCCATCGCCTGAGACTGAGACTGAGTCTTTTCGGATTCTGAGGAAGAAAAATTCTCAGCTCCCCTCTCAGCTTACCTCCAACTAAAGGGCTCCGACTTTATCAGCGATTACAGCAGTGACCCCCCGCCTCAGCTTCCTCAGTACAACTGTCCCATTTTTTCCTCTACAGTCATGGGCTTTCAAGTGTAAAGGGTTCTCCCATCCAGCTAGGGTTATGACCTTGATTATCCATGCAAAAGCCCAACTAAAGATTATAACCCTGTGATCCTCTCAGCCCTGTACTACCCCTCACATACTCTATGGATAGGTCTGCACCCCTGCAACACCCCCAAAATCCCTGTCCTTCCTGTCAGGAGTCATCCTCCCATGAGCCCTAAAGATTTGACCCCCACAGGATGGCAGAAGCTCCACAGCCCAATTCCACCTCCCCACGCCCAGCCTTCTTCCTACTGACTGGCATTCCAGGGCTAGGGGCTGCCCAGGCCTGGCTGACACTGGTCTTCGGGCCCATGTATCTGCTGGCCCTGCTGGGCAATGGAGCATTGCTGGCAGTGGTGCAGGTAGATTCCACACTGCACCAGCCCATGTTTCTGCTCCTGGCCACACTGGCAGCCACAGACCTGGGCTTAGCCACATCAATAGCCCCAGGGTTGCTGGCTGTGCTGTGGCTCGGGCCCCGCCTTGTGCCCTATGCTGCCTGCCTGGTCCAGATGTTCTTTGTCCATGCGCTGACGGCCGTGGAATCTGGTGTACTGCTGGCCATGGCCTGTGATCGTGCTGTGGCAGTGGGGCGTCCGCTGCACTACCCTATCCTAGTCACCAAAGCTCGTGTGGGCTATGCAGCTCTGGCACTGGCACTGAAAGCTGTGGCTATTGTTGTGCCTTTCCCTCTGCTGGTGGCACGATTTGAACGCTTCCGAGCCAAGATCATAGACCATGCCTACTGTGCACACATGGCAGTGGTAGAGCTGGTGGTGGGCAACACGCGGGCCAACAACTTGTATGGATTGGCGCTCTCGCTGGCCGTGTCAGGTGTAGATATTCTGGGCATCACTGGCTCTTACGGGCTCATTGCCCATGCTGTGCTGCGGCTGCCTACCAAGGAGGCCCGGGCTAAGGCCTTTGGGACATGTAGTTCCCATATCTGCGTCATCCTGGCTTTCTACATACCTGGTCTCTTCTCCTACCTCACACACCGTTTTGGTCGCCACACTGTCCCAAAGCCCATCCACATCCTTCTCTCTAACATCTATTTGCTGCTGCCCCCTGCCCTCAACCCTCTCATCTATGGGGCCCGCACCAAGCAGATCAGGGACCGGCTCCTGGAAATCTTAACATTCAGAAAATTTAAATTCTAATGGTCAGTGCAAACAGTGGAGCCTGGAGGTGAAGCTGGGGGGAAAATTGAGAGAATCTGGGGTCTGGAGGTATGGATTATGTAATTGTTCCCATTATCTGCATAGGACTGTGCTGATCACTCAACAGATATTTGCTGTAAAGCCCCTACTCTGTGTACCACTAAAATGTGTTTGGCCCAGTCACATATCCTGCTTGGGGGGAGGCAGGACGTAGGGGACTATGTGTTGCCACGCAGAATGACATAAGGAATTATTGTAGGGTCAGAGACACAAGATTTAACTTAAACTCCCCTTCATGCCTCTCTACATCATTTTAACTAAGTGTGCCCATGTCCCCTCACAAAAGTTCTTCTACAGACCCTGAATCTAGGGGTCTGGGAAGAGGGACATTGCCTCTAGATACTAGTACTTATCAGGGATCACAGCCCTCTCTATTCCTGGAGCCAGATTCTGTTCAGCCAGTCCTGAAAAAAGGAGTCATAGAGGACTATCCCCCATCCTCTGAAAATCTGGGTAATGTGTCCTGGGGTCCCAGTTTCAACAGAACACTGATCTTTAAAGACATCTCCAGTTCAGAGAATCTTCTTGGTCTTGTGTGAAATCACTACCTCCGCTACTTCCCACCCCACTGCCAAAGTATCAAAAGTTAATGGCTTGAAGTTCTGTCCCTGGGCTTGTAGGTAGATTCAGGGGTCAAGGGTCCAACTGAAATAAATTTTGATATCCCAGAAAATCACTGAAACCACGTCACCTGTTTGCCTGAGGTTCAGGATCACTACGGTCCCTTACCAATCTGCCCTTTTGTGCATCCTGAGCCAAGAATGTAGAATTCCCCAATAAAATCCTCATCAGCAACCACATTCGTCCTGGCCAACATCATCAGGAGCAACGTTGGTGCAACATGATGAAACTGGAAAATTTCACATGACTTTGGCTGCCAAAGAATTAGATATATTAACAGGAAGTGTCACAATGTTGCCCAACAGGGGATTCACTTTCCACTCCACACTAGAAGGGAAACTGCACAAAATATCTTTCACTCCAGCATGGAGTCCAGAACGAGCATAATCTCAGACATAAGGCAGAGAGTCACTGTTATGAGGTCATAGAAGGCTGCAGGCTGCAGAAGCAGACCCAAGTGCCCCAGGAACCATGCGCTACCATAGCCACAAGTATTGGAGTTGGCCATGAAGACCTAATGAAGCCAGGTGCAACCCTGACCACTCAGCAGATAGCTGGACCACATGCCCTAGCATATATGACACAGGAGGCCACAGATCTACAAAAGCAGGTGAATGCCATCTACAGGGCTGCATGGGGTCTCATCAGGTCCTCATTTCAAGAAACTGGAGAGCCCAGAAACTATGATTTTTCCAAAGATGCTGTCCCACTGAAACCAAGAGGAAGAGGAAGAAATCTACACTTTCCCTCAACCCAAGTGTGAACTCAGTCATTCTCATGAAATTCAGAGTTAAGAAACCCTCCAGGCAATTTTTGTGGATAGTTGTGACAAAATTCTAATTCCAGTGGGTCACAGGTCTCTAAGATGCCCATACCCTTCTCTTAAGGGTTCCTCTTCAATAAATTTATTCTGACAAAATAATTAGAGATGTGAACAAAGATGTATGCAATAAGATATTTATTATAAAAATGTGACAGTCTTTTGTCACACATACACACACACACACCTCTCCCCTCTGGTGCATAAAAGGGGAAATCACAGGCAGCCAATGTCCATAAGCAATGAACTCCACCACCCTCCCAGCAGAGGAAGCCTCTCTTCCAAGGCACTTTCGCCCCCTGGTTGTACACAATTCCCAAGGCAGCGGATTCCAAAGCTGTGTTTCACTCATGGTAAGAACTTTCTTCCTTACAAGCCAAATATCCACCCTCTTGGACACTGATTATTTTATTTTGGATTGAGATTGTATACATACCTACCATGTGATGTGTTCAGATGGCTTTACCGGCACTCTCGTGCTCCTTACAACCTGAGAACAAGTATAAACCCATAATCCCTTATCTATAATTCCAAAATTTAAAAATCTATGAAGAAACGAGTTTTTTCATAACTGGCCCAGAACCTCACCTGAATCATTCACAATCATATTTACATCCATCTTAGCGTGACTATTCATATTTAGCTGCAGATATATTGATGAGTTTGATTACGGGGCACTGCCCTGAATTTCACTGGGGTGCATCTCGGTACCTCTGCCTTCATCTCTGCCTCCTCCTCACTCTGTCAGTCAGTTTTGCCCCATATCCATGTCTCTTACATGTGGGCACTATATTCACTTTCTAAAACTATAAATTTCTGAATTACAAAACACATTTACCCCTAAAGTATTCAAATAGAGATGGATTAGAAACGTATACAATTATCCCTGCAACCTGAGGAAAGTGAAGAGTCATGGTATCCCTCTTCACTCAAGGTTGTCACTCTGAAGTCTTTGCTACCCACACTACTACATCCTGCCCTGGAGGCTGCCTGCAGAGAACGTCACGTTCCCTGGATAATCAGTCTCCACCGGTTGGTTGCCCTCATGATCTCCACTCTGATCACCCCATATGCTACATATGATCTGTTTTCTCCCCAAGGAACCCCCAGGATGTGCCACCCTGGAGGTAAACCCCATAAGCAGAATATAGCTCACAAAGCCTAGACGTGGGGCTCATCAACTGCATCCAGAACTCAGCTGACATCTGTTTTCCTTCAGCAACTTTCAGTCTAACTCTATGAGCCAAAAAGAAAGACTTCTTTAATGTCAGAATAGGGCAGTGTGGAATTCAGGGAGCCTAGAAGATCACTGTAATCAGAGAGCAAAAGGGCTTTGGGGTGCAGAGTTCATCAATTTCCCTTCAGCCTCCTCTATGAACAAAAATCCAAAAGAGGTCCTCAATGGATTTTACCAAGAGCCCATCATCCCTGCACCTACCTCATCCAGGCCCTTCTCATTTTGGAGCCTCTTCAACATATGGATGTGCACCATTCTCTGCCCCTGTGTATCAGTAAATCTCACCGTCTCTGTAGACCTCTGCGTCTCCTTCCACTGTCAGTTTTGCCCCATGTCTGTGTCTCATGTCCTTGTGCATCTCACTACCTCTGTGTCCCTCACTGAGAATTCCTTTCTGCAGGGAACAGAGGTACTAACCATACTATACCAAACAACCTCTCCTTGTCACCATAATAAAAAAATATGCTAAAGGGGTCTTTGGAGGAAGACATTTGGTTTCACTTGTCTCAACAGGAAACTTGGGGTTTCTGATTTGGTCTATTGCAGCTGTTTTCTCATCCTACCCATTTCCTCTTCATTCCACAACTCTGCACTTCCACTAGCATGCACCCTTCCCACCACACACTCAGGCAAGCAGAAGGAACATGTTGGTTTCTCCCTTCACCCAAAGGAATGACTTACTGCTTAATAGTTAAGAGCTGGAATCAGGCAGACTTGTACTAATCTATTTAACCACTTCCGAGTGGTTAACTGTTCCTTCACTTGTAAAATGGGGAAATAACAGGACCTACTTCAAGAGGTTACTAAAAGGATTAACTAAGACAATGGGCTCGAAGTGTTTGGCATAGCCCTTACACAAAATATTTGATATTAATTCTTCTCCTGGAACATAGGCTCATGCTCACTGTCATCCCTTTGCTCAAGTACCTGGTACCCACATCCCTAGCTCTGTCTAGGGAGACCTGCCCAGGAACATCTTTTAGGAAACTTTTCTTGGTAACACTCTCTTGTATCAATGCAGGATCCTTTCCTGTGCCCCATACTCATACTAGCTCAGCCAGCTCAGATGATGGCTGGCTTTGTGGGATGGCTCCACCTGCTGATCCAGGACAGGGAAGACCCCACACATGACAGGCCTTCCTCAGCACACAGGAGACTCTGCAGAGGGACGCAATAGAGAACTCTGGATAGATAAGAGGCAAGTGGAAGAGTAGCTACCAGAAAGGCTCTCTAGAGTGGATCTTCTTGGGGAAATGCACTCTTTCTCAGCAAAAGAACAGGCTGAAATCTCTAGACAGAGACACAAGGGGAAATCACACACAGAATAGGGCTGTAGTGGAAGACTGCATACTAGACACAGATCCACCTAGCACAGGGTGTGGAACACAAAGAACGTCCACAAATTTACCTGGGTATCCTGGCTTCCCTAAAGTTCTCTCCAATTACGAAGGCAGCAGTACTCCAATTAGATTCTTATCCTCCACATTGTCACCATTAAGCATGCCACACTCTTACACACACAGCTGGTTTGCACTGCGATTGTAGTCCACTCAGTAATAGGTTTCAACCCAGGAGGCACATTAAAATTGCCTGAGGAGCTTTTAGAAATCTTCACGCTTGGGCACAATCAGAATTTCTGGGGCTAGGATGCAGGCATAAGTAATTTTTAAAGCTCTCAGGAAATTCCAAAGTATGGTTAAGATTGAGAACCACTACTTGATTCTCAGTTTAAGTTCTGATCTGTACTTCTCATGTATGCTTTAGGACCCCGATGTAACCTCACAAAGAAGGACTGTCTCCAGGTGACAAGATAGCGTATCAAATTATTTCAAGGAGGCTGCTGAAGGGAGGAGAGCATGGATCCTATTTCCTTAAAGAACACACACACGGACAGACATACAGACAATCTAATAGGTACCTGCATTTTCCTCCCCTGAAGCAGAAGAATATATAGGTGACAAGAGAGTGGACTCAGGCTGTGAGAACAGTGAGGCTAGGAAAGTGACTGCCCTCTCCCCACCCAAGGCCCCATCACCCAGCAGGATCTCTATGACCTCATGCTGTAGTAGGTCAGAGCCTAAGGCCAAGCCTCACCTCCGTGGGTGGCTTGGGGTTCCTGCAGCAGCCACTGCCCTGCCTAACCCCTCCCATATCCCAACATGTTGGTTGGTACCCCCCACCTGCTAACACTTGATGAAGCCGATGCCACATGGACCCTCATCAAAGATAAGGTAGGTCAAATAAGAGGGCTAAAGTGTGGCC